AAAAAAAAAAAAAAAAAAAAAAAAAAAAAAAAAAAAAAAAAAAAAAAAAAAAAAAAAAAGAGGCATGAAGCATTTTTCCTCCAGGAAAAGTGAAATTAAATGATTTGTCCAGACCAAATAATGAACTTGAGCTGAGCACAAGCAGCTTTGTTTAATCATGTTTAACCCTGGTTCAAAATTAAGGTTCAGACAAAGTTTTGACAGATTTGAGGTGTTTCCAGGAATAATTGTGTCTTGCAGCAATCCCCATTTAGAAAACTAATAAGCACTGGGTGAAAAAAAAAGAGGGGAAGGGAGGAATTAAGGGAAAAATCTGTAGTGGGGACATGGATTTTGGGGCACAGGACAGGGGGATATTCCTTGTCCTAATTTAAAAGGTGTTAAGGAATTAGGAGTTCAGATATTATATTAAATAGAAATTTTATTTCCTCTCTAGTTCTAATTCTAGTTCTGCCATGAGAATTTTCCAGAGGGAAAAGAAGAGGATAAAGCTGAGTTTTATATAAAGTAAAATAAACTAAAGGTAAGAGGAATAATTCCAAGAAAATAAATTTTAGAACACTATCCAGGAGGCTTTCACTGCCACCAACCTCCCAAAATTAAACAGGGAAGGGACCTGAATTTGCCAGAAAATTCCAGTTTTCAGCAGGAAGGGATCACACATCCCTGGAAGTGTCCAAGGCCACGCTGGAATACTGGAAATTGTCCCTGTCCATGGCAGGGAGTGGCACTGGATGATCTCTAAGGGCTCATCACTTCAGAAAAGATTCCTCCAGTTGTGTTTTTTTAAAGAAAAGAGCTGGATTTGTTCAAGGGTTAAAGCTGATGAGTTCTTTCAGCAGCCAAATTCCATGGCTCCAATAAAAAGCTGCATTTCCATTTAATTAGGACTCACTGGATGATTCACAGCTCCTGCTGAAATTCAGGAGAGGTTTGCAGCTGCTTTTGCTCCAGCCCAATCCACAGATGTAATTTTTAGATGGGAAAATCCCATCTCAAAAAAAAAAAATAATAATAATCCTGGGATTTGAAGATCCAACATTATTGGGAGCAAAACTCATTTTCCCATGAGCTGAACNTTTTAGATGGGAAAATCCCATCTCAAAAAAAAAAAAATAATAATAATCCTGGGATTTGAACATCCAACATTATTGGGAGCAAAACTCATTTTCCCATGAGCTCAAACCCAAAACACCCAAAGCTCAGGGAAGCACAGTAAGGTTGTGAAAAGCTGGAATTCACCAGGTCCTGCTGGGAATTCCTTGATGCTGGATATGGAAAGCAGCAGGATTTACCAGGAATGTGGGGAAGAGGTTGTAAAATGATGGAAAATGGCTTTAAAATGAATGGATATAACCTGGAAGCACCTGTTCTCCCAGTTTAAGATTTTCCAGAAAGAAGCAGGAAGGAAGGATGGGGAAGGTGAATTTACAAGGAGGCTCCTTTTCTTTAATCCTGAGGGGAAATATGGCAACAGTAACATTTTTCAGGGAATAAATTCCACAATCAGAATGAAATTTTACAACAGGATGAGAGGAAAGAGCCTCAAGCTATGCCAGGGGAGGCTCAGGTTGGACAGGAGCAGGAATTTCCTCATGGAAAGGGTTGTTAAACATTGCAAGGGGCTGCCCAGGGAGGTTTGGAGTGCCCAGCCCTGGAGGTGACCAAGGAATTCCTGGATGTGGCACTCAGAGCTCTGGGGACAAGCTGGGAATTGGTCACAGCTTGGATTGGATGGTCTGGGAGAGCTTTTCCAACCCAATGGATTCAGTGATTCCAGGCTGAAACATCATGAAAATCAGGGAAGTAATTAAGGGAAGTCCTAATTAAGGGCTGAGGAATCAGACAGAATGAGGCTGGCTGGGCACTGCTAAATCCCTTTCTGAAGAGTGATTCACTCCGTGGGCTCTGGGGAGCTGCTGCACTGACAATTCTGAGCTATTCCTACTTCAACTCCTCTCCTGCAGGAGCTGTAAGCAGGACATGAAACAAGAAGGTGTTTCCAGATGTGACACTGGGGAAAAGGGGGATCAGGAGGGACCTTGTGGCTCTGCACAACTCCCTGGATTCTTGGAGGGATTTGGGATCTGGGAACAGGGACAGGAGGAGAGGGAACGGCCTCAGGCTGGGCCAGGGTGGATTTTAGGGAAAATTCCCGCATGGAAACAGTGGCCAGGCACTGGAAATGCCCAGGGAGGTTTGGAGTCCCCATCCCTGCGGGGATTCCCAAGCCCTGTGGATGTGGCACTTGGGGACATGGGGCAGTGGTGACCTTGGCAGAGCTGGGAAAGGTTGGGCTCAGTGGTCTGAGACCTTTTCCAACTTGAACAATTCCATGATTCCATGAATATGAAGTGGTTTTGTGCCTCCTGAAACCATCCTTTGCCTTATGACTGTCAGAAACCCCAAATAAATCCATTCCTATCCCAAGGGTGGGTGTGGAGAGGAATGGGGCCAGACTGCTCAGTGACAGCAGAAGGGAAAAGGGGCACAAACTCAAACACAGGAAATTCCAGCTGGGTATGAGGAAAAACTTCTACTCTGAGGATGATGGAGCACTGCAAAGCTTCCCAGAGCAGCTGTGGCAGTGCCCAAGGCCAGGCTGGATGGGTTTGGAGCACCCTGGGACAGTGGGAGGTGTCCCTGCCCATGGATGAGGTGACATTGGATGGGCTTTGAGATCCCTTTTCACCCAAACCATCCCACAATTCTACATTCTTTTATCAATTCCCTTTTTTTTTTTTCCCCCACCAAGCTGATTTAATCCCAGGGTTATCTGCAGCACTTTGAGTATGTTAAAGTTCCTCCAGTCAGGATAACAGGACAAGGAACAGCAGCAGTGCACAGCCTGTCCTGTTAGGGTGTCCCAAACACTGCTGGCTCTCCCCACCCATCCATGATTTCAATCCCACAAATCCCAGTGCACACGAGGTGTGTGTGTTACACCAGCATCACCACCAGCAGCAGAATTTCTGCTTCAAGCCCTATTTTTGGAAATACAAACAGAATAACTACAGGGTGTAAAACCAACAAATCCAACGTGGCTTTGAATCCTTCTCTTTTCCAAGTGCCACATCCGTGCTGAATACCCCAGGGCTGTGTCCTTTTCTCTGCTTTTTAAAGCTTTCTGAAGATGCTTTTGGTATTATTTTTCCTCCTGCCAGGCTTTTCAACATCCACAACAGCAGGATTCAATCTCTCCCTTCCCATTTCTGATCCCTGCAGGAATCCTGAAGGGCATTTAGGTCAAGGGCTGAACCCAAGAACGAGACAAGTCAATATTGACTTTGACTCCCATCTCCAAAGTTTCATCTTTTCCACAACAGATGGACAAAATAAGTTTGGAACTCGTGGAATTGGAGGCCCTCAGGAGTGTTTGGAGGGTTGGGAAAGAGTGGCTGAGAGTGAGGTTTAAAATTTTATTTGTTCATCCAGCTGTGTTCAGGCTCTGCAGATCCCAGCCTTCCCTTCCTTGGCAGGCTGCCCACACCTGAGACATTCCCAAGTGGAAAAATTCCCAAGAGGAAAAATTCCCAGCTGTGGCTGGGTCAAGGGGCTGAGGGAAAATGGGAGAAGCCACAGGATCCATCCAAGCACAAGCTGCAGGTGAGCCAAGAAATTTCCAGATATTCCAAAGCAGAATGGATCATCCTGGGAGAGCTCCTGGATCTGGATCAGTGTGGAGAACAGGTTTGGTTCTCCCAGCCTTTATTTCCAAAATCTTTGGGGCAATCATGTTTTCAAGGATTTTACACCACTAAAACTCAGTGATCCTCAGATCAAGAAGCATAAAGGAAAATAAAAGAATTCTGGAGAATGAAAACCAGGTCCTTGGAATGTTATCCCATTAATTAAGGAATCACATATTTGGAATTTCTGCTTTTTCTTAAATATATATTAAAAAATGAACCTCTCCATTAAAAAAAAAAAAATCCCAAACCCTTCTGTGGCTGGGAAAATTACAGCTGAAGGCAAGAGCAGGAATGCAGAGCCAGGAGAGGCAAAAATCCATTTAAGTGTCCAGACTGTTCCAATTCCCTTAATCCCAGGAGTCTGATGAAAACACTGAAAAATGTGAACAGAAAAAGAAGAACAAACCACAAACCACCTGTATTTGACTTTTTTTTCCCCTCATCTTTCCAAACCTTACAAACACCAGGGCATGGAACAGCATGGGGAAAATGAAAACTCTGCAAGAGAATTGGGAGTAAGAAAAGAAACCTGAAAAGTTTGGAAGAAAATTTAGGAGGTAACTGAAAACCCTGGAAGAGAATCAGGAGGCAAGAAAAGAAAACCTGGAAATTCAGGAGGAAAACTGGGAGGTGAGGAATGAAACCTGACAAGTCTGGAGGAAAACTGGGAGCTAAGAAAACAAACCTGGAAACTCTGGAAGAGAATTGGGAGCTGGGGAACAAATCTGGTTGGAAAAAAGGAATGAGGGGGGAAAATTCCTCTCTCAATGGTTATGTAAGGGCTGCTGCTGGAATTTTATAAATAGGATCTTAACAGGTGTAAAACTGGGAAAAAAATCCAGGATTTTTCCATTTTTTTTTTTTTCCAGGAGTTTGGGGTTTGTTTAGGCTGGTTTGTGTGCCAAGGCTGAGCTGGACAGGGGTGGCTCACCCTGGGCTGCAGCCTCTGCTCCTGTGCAGGTCCAGAATCCGTGCAGGATCAGGAGGATGCAATTCCCATCTGCTGCAGCCAACGGTGAAAATTCAGGAAGGGGAAGAGAATCTTCAGGAAGGGGCCTGTGTTGCCAAAAAAGGGCCTTTGTACTGAAGGAAGGAAATGTGGCTGAGCATTTGCCCAAAAATAGAAGGTGTGGAGCCACTCAGCAAATTCCCAGTGCTCCTGGGAGAGGCTGGAAGGCTGATCCAGAATGTGGAAGGTTTCAGGGATGGGAAGATGGATTGAAAAGCCCTTTCCCAGCTGCTGGTGGTGCTTCCACCCCTGAGGGGTGAGGGGCTTCATGTCCCACATGAATGGAGGGATCTGAGGGGCAGGAAAAGATTCCTGATCCTGGGATATCCAGCTCAAGGTCATGAGAAGCTACAAAGATATGGGGAAAAGGGATATTCCCACACAAACTGGGAATATCACAGAATTTCCCAATCCTGTGACCCTGGGGTAACCTCAGCCTCCTCCTGGAATATCTGGGGGCTGTTGGGGTGACCCAAATATCCACAAACCCTTCAGCATCCAGCCTTGCTAGGGGAGAGGTGGAAAAGGGCAAGAATCACTTTTCCCAGGGGACAGGACTAAGCTGATGTCACATCCCAGCCACGTCCCCACCCCTGGGTCCCCCTTCCCAGGATTGTGGGGATGTCCCAAAAAAACACCAATAGACTGGGATTGCAGAGTGGGAGGATCACCAGGGTGATCCAGGATGACTGAAACGGGGCTGATCCCTGTGGGGTACCCCTGTCCCCACACCCATGGGGATGAACAGCCCTTGGGGGGCATCCAAGCCTCTCCCAACACCTGGAAAACACCGGAATGGGGATGGAAGAGCTGCCACCCACCGGGCTGTAGGAGGGGGTGACCCTAAATCCATTTATAAAAGGATAACCACCCCTCCTTATCCCTGATTCCAGGGATACCATGGGAACACCCCAGCTCTCCCCACACCATTCCCGGGCTTTGGGGACAGGGTGACCCCATTATTCCCGGCCTGTTGGGGTACCCCAGCTCCCCCCGGGAATGTCCCAGAGCCAGGGACAACTGTCACCGGCCTCGGGCCCTTGGATGTCCCTGTCCCCGTCTCGATACCTGGGACCTTGTGGCTGGGGTGACCAGACCTCTGTGGAGGATGGGGACAGGGATGCCCCGATTAAGGACACGCCAGGAATGGGGGTGTCCCAGGCCCGAACACGGTGGGAATGGCTAATTCCCAATCACAGACTCACTGAAGCCCTGGCAATGGATGTGTCCCAGTCCCCGATCCTCAGGGATGCCGATGCCATGTCCACAACCCCTCAGGACCTTGGGGACAGCGGTGCCTCGTCCCCGACCTCCCGGATGCGGGAGTGCCCCGAACCCGAATCCCTCAGGACCTCAGAAATGGGGGTGCCGCGGTCCCGATCCCCCTGGGACGGAGATTCTTTGCTCCCAGACCCCTCGAACTCCTCAGGGTTGGAGCTGTCCCGGTCCCGAATCCCTTCTGGGCCTTGGGGTCGGGGTCATCGCCGGCGCCGGTCGCCACTCACCCGCCGCCCGCGGCCTGCCCGGCAGCTGCACGAAGCGGTTCAGGATCCCTCCCCCGCCGCCATCGGCGCCTCCCGCGGCGCCGCCCGCGCCCTCCCCGAGCCCGTCCCGGGCCGCGGCCGCCGCCGACATGGCCCGTCCGCTGCCTGAGGGCCGGGGCGCGAACCGCCAATCAGCGCCGAGCTTCTTCGGCCGCGGCCTATCAGCTGCGGGCTTGTTGGCAGGTGGGAGGAGGCAGCGGCGAGAGCGCCGCTGTTGGGAGAGCTAAGCGATCGATCCAGGCTAGAGCAAGAGAGCGCCGAGAGCGGGGCCGCGGGGACATTCCCGGGAACATTCCCGGGGACACTCACGGGGACATTCCAGGGGGCTTTCACGGGGGGCGCCGGCGCCCCCCGATCCCTCCGCGACGTTCCGGAGGCCGTGCGGGGATTGCGCGAGGTCATGAGCGACGCCGCGGCGCGAGCGGAACGATCGTGCGCGAGCGGAACGTTCGTGCGGGCCCGCGTTTCCCGGGCCGTGACGGGTGGGAGGGACCAAAATGGCGGCGCCCAGCGCCGGGGGAGCCGTGGCGGCGGCGGCGGCGGGGGGGAACCGAGGGCGGCCGCCCCCCGTCACCCCCCGGCAGATCCGCGACCTCATCGACGGCGGCATCGCCACCGAGGGGCCCGGGCCCGGCGGGTGAGGGGCAGCGGCGGGGGGGGGCTCGGTGGCACCGGGGCTGGCGTCGGGGGGAGGCCCAGCCGTGTGAGGGGAGGGGGACGGCTGGGGACTCTTGAGGCAATTGGGGACCCCTCGGTGTTTTTTGGGGTCCTTCGGGGGGAATTGGAGTCGGCGGGAGCGCGGCTGGAGGGGACTGGGAGGTGCAGGGAATTTTTATTGTGGAAGGATAACGGGAAAAGAGAGCGAGGGAATGGGCTGGGAGCGACTGGGAAGCACTGGGAGCACTGGGAGGTGCTGAGAGGGAGAACTGGTGGGATTAAGGGGCACTGGGAATACTGGGGAGACTCGGAGGTACTGGGAATTTTGGAGAGATTCAGGGACACTGGGAATACTGGAAGGGCAAGGAGGAAGCAGTGGGAATAGATCATGGAGCACTGGGAGGGTACTGGGGACACTGGGAGGGCACTGGGGACACTGGGAGGGTGGCCCAGGGAAGTGACCCAGGGAAGTGGAGTCCCCGTGGCCTGAACTGGCCACATGCTGGTCACACTGGTCACACTGGTCACACTGGTTACACCAGTGGGGCACTGGGAGTGCCAGGGGTTACTGGGGAGACTGGGAGGCACTGGGAGCAACGAGGGCTGGGCTTTGGGGGTGTCTCAGGGCCTCCCTTGTCCCAACTATCCCTGAATTTTGGCTCATTTGGAAAGGTGTTGGGAAGAGGCCAAAGGGCAGCCTTGGGATTGACATTCCAGCTTTAGGATTGACATTCCAGCCTTGGGATTGACATTCCAGTTTTAGGATTGACATTCCAGTTTGGGATTGACATTCCAGTTTTAGGATTGACATTCCAGTTTTAGGATTGACATTCCAGTTTTAGGATTGACATTCCAGTTTTGGGATTGACATTCCAGCTTGGGATTGACATTCCAGTTTGGGATTGACATTCCAGCCTTGGGATTGACATTCCAGTTTTAGGATTGACATTCCAGCCTTGGGATTGACATTCCAGCCTTGGGATTGACATTCCAGCCACAGATTCTGGTCTTGGGAACATCCCAGACTTCAATCCTCAATCTGCCCTTGCTGGGCTCAGAGAACAAATCCCTGTTTCCTCCTTGTCCCATCAAATCCCAGCTGTCAGTCACTGGGGACACATAAAAATGGAATTTCATTCATTCATTGTTTTATTAGGAATTAATGAAAAGTTGGGAATGGGGAGCTCTGGAGAAGATCCTTGTCAGGACAAGCCTGAGGGATGGAGGGTTAGGAAGTGCTCTGTCCTTATTTTTTTGTTTGTTTGTTTTTAATCAATGGGATCATTCCAGGAGTTTTCCTTGCTGACTTTTCCTTTTAGGAAAGACACATCTGACTGCTCAGAACAAGCCAATGGACCTTCCCAAATGGAGGCTCTTTCCTTGGAGTCTGCCAGCAGGGAAGCCTATTTCAGCAGAGTGGAAACATTCACCATATCCTTTGGGATGCTGGAAATTCCATCTCGGAATTGTGGGGGAAGGGATCCAGAGGGATCATGGATCCAATTCCTGGCCTTGCACAGACATCCCATAATTTTATCCTGTACCTAAGAGGTGTCCAAATGCTCCTGGAGCTTTCCCAGGGGAATGCTGAGTGTCTCAGCACCCTCTGGGGGAAGAGCCTTTTCTTTAAATCCAGCCTTTTCCTAGAATCCCACCTTTCCCTAAAATCTTGCCTTTTCCAAAATTCCAACCCTTCCTAAAATCCAGCCTCTTCCTAAAATCCTGCCTTTTCCTAAAATCCAGCCTTTTCCTAAATTCCAACCTTCTCCTAAAATCCAGCCTCTTCCTAAAATCCAACCTTTTCCTGAAATTGTTATCTTTTCCTAAAATTCTGCCTCTTCCTGAAATCCCATGTCTTCCTAAAATCCAACCTTTCCTTTTCCTAAAATCCCACCTCTTCCTAAAATCCAACCTTTCCTAAAACCCAATCTTTTCCTAAAATCCAGCCTCTTCCTAAAATCCCCTTTTCCTAAAATCCAACCTTTACTAAAATCCAACCTTTCCAGAAACCCAACCTTTTCCTGAATTTTTTACCTTTTCCTAAAACCCAGCCTCTTCCTAAAACCCCCCTGGCCCATCTCCAACCATTCCCTGTCCCTCTTCTTCCCCTCCTGAGGAAACCCCAGCCCCTCTCCCAAACTCTTCTTCCCTCAGAACCTTTCCCCACTCCCCCCCACCAAAAAAAAAAAAAAAAAAAAAATCCCGGGAATTTGGAATTTTTGTGTGTGGCTCCTTGACGGGAGCTCACCCGCTCAAGTGGGCGGGCAAACCGAGCTCGCTGTCACCTCTGGTGTGTGCCAGGTTCGGCTGGGTCAGCGTGGAGTGTGACATGCTCAGGTGTTCCAGCTGCCAGGCTTACCTGTGCATGAGCCTGCAGCTCGCCTTCGACCTCAGCAACTGTGTGTAGGGGTTGTGGGATTGCGGGATTTTGGGATTTCTGGGGGTGGGTTGGGGGGTTTGGGGTGTCTCAGGAACCATCTCGAGGTGAATTAGTGGTGTTTAGTTGTGGGGATTGGGATAATCAGTCCTGGTTTGGTGTTGGAGGTGGGTTAGGATAAGGGAATTCCAGCTGCCAGGCTTACCTGTGCATGGGCCTGCAGCTCACCTTTGACCTCAGCAACTGTGTGTAGGGGTTGTGAGATTGTGGCATTTTTGGGATTTTTGGATTTCCAGGGGTGGGTTTGGGGTGTCTCAGAAACCATCTCGAGGTGAATCAGTGGTGTTTAGTTGTGGGGGATTGGGATAATCAGTCCTGTTTTGGTGTTGGAAGTGAGTTTAGGATAAAGGAATTTCAGCTGGGAGATGTGGTGGAATTGTAGGGAATGAGTTTGGAGGGATCTTAAAGCTTGTCCTGCTCTGTGGTGTTGTTCAGGGAATGGTGATTCCAGGGAATGGTGGTTCCAAGGAATGAGGGATTCAGGGAATGATGATCTCAGGGAGTGATGGTCCTAAGGAATGATGATTCCAAGGAATGATAGCCCCAGGGAATGATGGTCTCAGGGAATGATGATCTCAGGGAATGATGGTTCCAAGGAATTGTTTTCAGGAAATGATGATCTCAGGAAATGGTGGTTCCAAGGAATTGTTTTCAGGGAATGAGGATTCCAGGGAATGATGGTTCCAAGGAAAGGAATTATATTTTCAGGGAATGGTGGTCCCAGGAAATGATGATCTCAGGAAATGGTGGTTCCAAGGAATTGTTTTCAGGGAATGATGGTCCCAGGGAATGATTGTTCCAAGGAATGATGATTCCATGGAACTCCCACTGTAAAAAACCATATTTTTTTTTATACTGGGATAAAACCTTTCCCAGCTCACCCTGTCCCCACTGCTCCTTGTCCTCTCCATGGAAAGGAGACCCTCCATCCTTTAAGGACTGGGAAACCACAGTGAGGTTCCAAACCTTAAATCAGACCGAGGGAATTATCCAAAAACATCTGAAACGCTTCCAGGCTTGGAGCACCTCTGGGAATATTCCAGAACTGGATCATCTTGGTAGAGAAAGAGTTCCTAATGTTGAGCCTGAGCCTCCCCTGGTGCAGCTCTGAGCCATTGCCATGCTGGAATTCTGTGCCAGTCCTACCACAGGATTCCAGGGAGAAGAGCTCAGCACTTCCCTCCTCTGGAAGGTGCAGAATTCACCCCTCATCCTCCTTTTCTCCAAACAATCCCAAGGCTCTCAGCCTCTTCCCAGGTTTTCCAGCCATATCTCCAGCCTTGGTGCCCTTTGGATGCATTCAAGGATCTGAAATTACTTTTTAAAAAAATTTTCTTTTGAAACTTTTCTTTCCCAATTCCTGGATCTGCTTCCCTGATCCTGCACTGAATGTTTGCAGTGTGGTGGTTGCTGCTCACCAAGGCCATTCAGGCAGAAATTACATTGTGAGATTGAATTAATACATTCCTTATTATCCCACAAGGAAGTGTCATCCCCACTTCTCAATTTCCCTGGAAGTGAGCAGGGAGCACATTCCTTCTGCCTGCCAGGTGCCATGTGGCTCATGGGAATAACTGAGCCTTTCCTTTTGGGTCACTCAATATCAACATTCCCTGTTTATTCAGATTATCTCTGTTAAATAAACCTTGGCCTAATTATTCCACTGGAAATCACACCAGGTTAGGAAAATCTAAAATAATCAAAGATTGGGAAGAAGTCATTGAAAAAACAAATTGGGAAAGAAATTATTTGGTTCTGAAAACGTAAGTAAAATTAAATATTAGAGAGGGGTTTTTTTGTTTGTTTTTTTGGGAAATTGGATTTTCAGACATGGCTGGGATTTGGCTCCTACAGCTGGGGTGGAGGGATCAGCTCAGCCAGGGATTGGCATCATCCCAGGAGTTCAAACTGGCAGGATCCAGCAGGTTCTGTGCCCGTGCTTGGCTCGGGCTGTTTTTTCCACAGGCTCCCCTGCTCCTGTGCCTGGGAATGGGAAGGATTTTGGCTGTGGGCAGGTGGAACTGCTGAGGTGACATTTGCTCTTCCCAGGCTGCCTGAGCAAGCCTGGAATTCCTCTTGGTGGGAAGTCTGAGGTGAAGCTTCAGGCTCTGCAGGTTCAGGCAGCATCCAAGGGAAAC